ACAGACCAGAAGGAGAGTATTCATTACCTGTCTCTCCTCTACCCCAGAGGAAGAGTGCAATGGCTTGGTATTTAAGCACCTCCCAGTGCAGGGACAGGGTGCACTTCTGTGAACAGAGCAGGTGCATGAACCAGACGGCAGAGATTCCTACCCATTCCCAGAACACAGGGTGTTGCTGCTGCTGATTAACACAGATAAGGGGGTGTACTCCCAGAATACAGGGTGTTGCTGCTGCTGATTAAGACAGATAAGGGGGTGTACCTCTGATACATGTGAGGGATAGTCAGGTGGAGAGATAGAAGTGAGCTTCCACTGTGGGAAGGAGTTTGTACCATCCCCAGGAGTGAGATGAATGGGCTGGGGTGGAACCCAGCTTCTGACTTTGCTTTAGTTCAATGGCCAAGCTACAGAGCCATAGAAAATCGGGATGTATTAAAGGTAATTATAAGATAATTCAGGTCCTCATCTGCATCCCTCAGCCACACCAGGAGAGTGAAAAGGTGGACTCCCTCCCAACCTGCCAAGTAACCCAGCACTGAGCACTTTGAACCATGCCCTGTAAACTGCCTGATGCTAAACGTGCTGACGCCTTTGACTTACACCATTGATACACCACACCACACACACACACACACACACCACACACACACACACACCACACCCCACACATATTCACACACACACACCACACCACACACACACCACACACACTCACACACACACACCACACCCCACACATATTCACACACACACACCACACCACACACACACCACACACACTCACACACACACACCACACCCCACACATATTCACACACACACACCACACCACACACACACCACACACACTCACACACACACACCACACCCCACACATATTCACACACACACACCACACCACACACACACCACACACACTCACACACACACACCACACCCCACACATATTCACACACACACACCACACCACACACACACCACACACACTCACACACACACACCACACCCCACACATATTCACACACACACACCACACCACACACACACCACACACACTCACACACACACACCACACCCCACACATATTCACACACACACACCACACCACACACACACCACACACACTCACACACACACACCACACCCCACACATATTCACACACACACACCACACCACACACACACCACACACACTCACACACACACACCACACCCCACACATATTCACACACACACACCACACCACACACACACCACACACACTCACACACACACACCACACCCCACACATATTCACACACACACACCACACCACACACACACCACACACACTCACACACACACACCACACCCCACACATATTCACACACACACACCACACCACACACACACCACACACACTCACACACACACACCACACCCCACACATATTCACACACACACACCACACCACACACACACCACACACACTCACACACACACACCACACCCCACACATATTCACACACACACACCACACCACACACACACCACACACACTCACACACACACACCACACCCCACACATATTCACACACACACACCACACCACACACACACCACACACACTCACACACACACACCACACCCCACACATATTCACACACACACACCACACCACACACACACCACACACACTCACACACACACACCACACCCCACACATATTCACACACACACACACACATACACACACCACACACCACACACACACACACACCACACACACACACACACACACCACACCCCACACATATTCACACACACACATACACATTAACACATCACTTAAACTCACAGATGCTCATTCTCCCCCCTCACCTCTCTCTCGGCCTGATGGTAGTTAGCAGGCTGGCTGCCATTGTACAAAGTTCATTCATTTGCCTCTTGAAAACTAATGGGGATCAACTGGAGTGCTTAATTGTCCCATTTCAGGTATTAATATACTCAAATCTAGAATGACTCATAATTAAACAAAATGTAAAACAAAATTCGCCACCTAGAGCCATTTCCCTGGAGCCTGTTGTGATAGGGAGGCCATATCCTCTGTGCATCATGGAGAACGACCAGCCAGGGAAAATGCCACCTGGCTGCTGTGGGCTGGAGGCCATCAGCTCTGCCCCCTTGTCATTAATTAATCCTCCTGAAATACCTTCTGCCCTAATAGTTCAGCAGACCTCGTGCAGTTGGAAGTTCTGTTCTTAAAGAGTAAGTTTGCCTAGCAACTAGACATCAAAAATGGAGCTCATTAGCAAACGAAGCTCATTAGCATCTCCTTAAGAATCATATCAGCGAAGCCCAACTGGCTTAAGAACATCTCTTAAAGGTAAACACGGTCTTGAAATCATGTGTGTTTTAAAACCACATGCCTATCGACACTGAGGCAGCACTTTCTCTCACCCTGTGATGTCACAGTAAGCTAACAGGCATTCCTGGCTCTGTCTTAGACCTGAGGCTTGACTTGGCATTTGTACCTATGGAATGTGATCCCTGTTGAAGCCAACCTGACCTGTGACCTGCCTCCAACCTGCAGCTCCCCAGGCTCTGACACCACTGTTAACCCCAGGGGTCTCTGAGGACACTTCCCTGTCTCCTCAGACCTGGCCTGATTTGGTCCAAACAGCAGAAGTAGGAGGGAAACTGCATGAGACTTGGTATCTTCACTTCTTCCTCGTTCTTACAAACTGTGTATGAAAAAAAAATCAAAAGAGCATGTCTAGAATCATCTAGAAAAGCACGAGTTTTAGAAAAGGGGCCCGGAGCCCACATTATCTACCCTACACCAAGCAAAGTCACTGTCAGGATAAACTGAAACTGACACTTCTCAGAGGGCCTGAAGTCCTGTCCATCTAAACTTCACTGTTCTGTCTGAGAGCCTTAAGGAACTGTGATGTGGGGGCTGGAGAGATGGCTCGGCAGTTAAGAGCACTGACTGCTCTTGCAGAGGATCCAGGTTCAAATCCCAGCACCCATATAACAGCTAACAGTTGTCTTTAACTCCAGGTTATCTTCAGACTAAGTAAAACTTATGGCTAAAAATAAGAGGGGTAAAACATAAATAGCGGGGGAGCGGGCATGGCAGCCGTGACACGAACAGGATGGTGAAGAAGAGGGAGAAAGAACTAAGTCTTGTTTTGTTTGGGTTTTAGGTCTTTACCACTACCCAAAATTCCATTCCATCGCATCGAATTTAACATTTGCTGGGTGCCTACCATACACAGGATCACCAGGTATAACTTGTGCTGCCATATTTTTAGAGTTGGCTAGACACAGTGGACCAATAACACAGCCTCCCAACATTTGCTTCTCCACTATTAAAAACATTAATTAATTTATTTTTATGTGTATGAGTGTTAGGCCCATATGCATGTATGTAAGTGCACTCATGGTATGCAGTGCCCTCAGAGGTCAGAAGAGAGTGTTGGAATCCCTGGAGCTGGCGTTATGGATGGTTGTTAGCTGCCAGGTGAATGCTGGGATTCGAACCTGGGTCTTCTGCAAGAGCAGCCAGTGCTCTTAACTGCTTAGCCACCTCTCCAGCTCATCCTCCACCATTTTGAAACTGCCGTGTAGTTGAGGGTTTGAACTCCAGTTTCAGAGGTAGCTTCTGGTTGGCCTAAGTCTGTCACAGTAGCCTCTCCCCCTGCTGATGATTGGTTCAGACACCTGAGAATAAACTTCAATATAGCATTCTTCTCCCTTTAGTGACTAGTTCAAGAATGACATGGGTTTCTCCTCATTGGTTAAGACCAATGAAAGCAAAAGGGAGTTTGCTGAGGGTTCTGAGGAAAGTTTCCTGGCTCTTAAAATAGAACCATCTTCTTCCCATCATCCCATTGGGCCTGAGTAGATGGTACCAGATAACTGCAGCCTTTGCTTTTTGTCTCAGTATGATAGTTTAAACATGAACTGGAGAGATGGCACAGTGGTTAAGAGCACTTGCTGCTCTTGCAGAGGACCCGGGTTCAATTCCCAGAACCCACATGGTGGCTGACAACCATCTGTAACTCCAGTTCCAGGGGATCTGATGCCCTCTTCTGGCCTCTGCAGGTATTGCACAACATGGGTGCACTTACATACCAGCAATACACTCATTCACATAAAAAAAAAAAAAAACCAAAATATTTAAAAGAAAGTTTATGCCTTTGGGGGCTATGTAGAGTGGGTTCAAGGACAGCCACGCAACTTAGTGAGACCCTGTCTCAAAAAAGAAAGTAAAAAGGGGCTGAGGTGTAGCTCTTGGTGGGTGGAGCACTTCCCCAGCATGTGTGAGGCACCAGGTTCAATCCCCAGAACCAGTCCTGCATCTTTAAAAGGTGGCAGACAGCTGTGCTTGCACTGGTCCCTGGGGTGATGCTATTTTAATCCATGTTTGGGGAGTAGGGCTTTCCCAGGCTCAGCTCATAAAACATGTATCAACTTTCTCAGAAAGGAGCCTCTCGGGAGATGCTGAAGAGTCATCTTTCACTCATCTGACCAGATCACAAGGCTGGTCAGAAGCAGCTGCCTCCCTGTTCAGCAGCCCCTTCCATGGGGGAGAAGGCTCCCATCCCTCCCTACATCCATACACAGCAATGACCACTGTGGTCCAGGGGCTACAGTGACCTGTGGGGTGGAAGGAAACACACCCACATTTGTCCCCATCTTCCCTTCAGCACGGATTAGCAGACGTTGGAACAGAAGTCAAAGTCCAGCTATCGACCATCTGGACACGTTAGGAAGGCCATGCAGAGAGCACTACCCCTGCACTAATGACCCCATGAGACACAGGGAGAAGCCCACGCCCAGTACTTGGCAGGGTCGGGGCTCAGCAGGAAGTACGACAGAAACAATTTGTGACTGTGCAGCCCTGAGCATGACTCCATCATAGACAATTTTCAACATAACCCGGAAGGGTGTGCTCTAACCGCCCCCACCCCAGACATCCTTGGACAGCACAACCCCCAACTCCTCTCAGTTACTTGCTGAGGCCTCCAGCTTGCGCTTGTGGGGTGGGTCTTCGATGATTCTCTTGAGATCCCCACGGTTCTTCAGGTCCACCGGCTTCTCCCAGACAGACAGCTGCATGGTCGGGTTGAAGAAGAAAACCCGGTCATCGCCCGTCCAGACCACACACCTGTTAGAACGAAAACTCTCCTCAGTCTCTCTCAGAGACACTTGGCTTAAGAGCAGTCCCAGGCCCCTGACTCACACTGCCCCTCAGGACCAAAAGTGAAGGTGTAAAGACATTCAAGGAGGCATCGGTCCACGATGGCAGGGATGTCCAGGCAATCCTTTCACGTCTCATTTGATTGACAGGGGGCCTTGCCCTTCCCTCGCCCCAGCAAAGGATGTCAAGGCTCAAAGACTTCAGCTTCACAAGGCCACAGAGAGTCCCAGCTCAGCACACTGCCTGCCTCAGTTCATCCAGTTCAGACCAGGGCTTCAGGAGGAGCTTGGAGACTGTCTCCCCACCTTCCTGATTTGCGCAGTGCAGCCATCAAGGACTGCTCTGCAGCAGCTGAGATGGGAAAGGGGCCACTTGACCCAGAAACTGAGCCTTAGTACTGTTCCCCTTTACAAGAGCAAAGAATTAAGTCTCCCACTTTCATACACAGGCATCTAGCACATTTGAAAGTACTAATGTACTTAATCTTTTTTAAAAATTTTATTTATTTTTATGTGTATGCGTGTATTGCCTGCATGTAGGTTAGTGTACCCGTGTCGTGCAATGCCCGCGGAGGTCAGAAGAGGCTGTTGGATCCCCTGGGACTGGCGTTATGGACAGTTGTTAGCTGCCATATGGGTGCTTGGATTCAAATCGGGTCTTCTCCAAGAACAACCAGTGTTCTTAACCACTGAGCCATCTCTCCAGCTGCTTTTTAAATTTTTTAAAATTTTTTATTTATTTAATGTACTGTTTTTAAGCACCTTGAGCGAATGAAAGACATGGGCAGAGGCAGGGAGACTTTTCAATGTAGGATGCCTGGTGTCCTGCAGAACACTGTGAGACATCACTGCACCCTCAATGGCTCCCTCACATCTTACCCCAGAAGGTGACGCATGGGTGTCTGCATAGATGGAGCCACTCCATATTCTGCCCAGCTAGTTTTGTTCCAAGAACTAGGCCGAGGGCACAGGGCTGGTCCCTGTGTGCTGACATCTAGGTGGATCAGTATTCTTCCCAGAAATGACCTGAGGGGTCTATCATATTTCTTAACCTGACCAGCCCAGGTTCCACGGTGGAGTAGACAGAATGATGGTCCCCAAAATGTTCACTTTCAGGTCCCCAGAACCTACAAAAGGGTCATTTCACATGATAAAAGGACTTGGATTGAGATTGAGATTCAGAGATGCTCTGGGTCTTAAATGGGTTCCAAATGCCATCATACAGTCGTTGGGAAGGAGGAGGAGACCTGAGGATGGACTCAGAGGTCACACTCCATCCACACACTCATACATGTGTATGTGTGCACACACACACGCACACACACACATCACTAGGAGGTGCTGCATGACTGGCACTGAATGTGGGGGAGAGGTCAGAAGCCCAGGAATAAGGTGGCCCCCCCAAGCTAAAAGGGGTGGGGACAGATCTGTCCTGGAGCCTTCTGAAGGAAATCAGCCTCTAGCAGCCTGATTTCAGCCCAGTGAGAACTGTTCCTCCACACACACCAGCTGTCCTTTTCTTAGTGGCTTTCCAGTTCAGACCCTGTCACCCTGGGGCAGTTCTAGTCTGGATCCAAGATGGAACAGTCTGGAAAATTTCTCTACACTTCTCATGGGAAGCCCTGCATGGCTATCCAAAAACACCTCCCTTCACAGCTCATTTCTCTCCAGCAGCAGATACCAAATGGGCCACTTTCTCCAGCAAGAGCTAAGGACTTGTTACCGCCACACCCGTCAGAAGCTAGGCTGTGTAGACCAGTTGAAGGGCTTCACCTCTGGGACCCTCAGCTGGGTGTCAGCACCCATTAGGCAGCACTCAAATCCCTAAGTCATGTGTCCAGCTTGACCACATGCCTGGTAAGACACTCTGATCTGCCCTCTTGGCTAGCCTCTCCTCCAGCTCTTGCCCTTCCAGGGACCACGAGAAGGGCAACGGAGGTTACTTTATTCTGACTTCCCTCCCTTCTAGTGGGAATGGAAGCAGGAAAGGAGGTATGGCTAGCCTCTCCTCCAGCTCTTGCCCTTCCAGGGACCACGAGAAGGGCAGCGGAGGTTACTTTATTCTGATTTCCCTCCCTTCTAGTGGGAATGGAAGCAGGAAAGGAGGTGTCCTGTGTTCTGGGCCAAGGCCTTGCCTGCACGCTGCCTGGGCCTGTAGGCTCAGGGAGCTACAACCTCTGGCCTGCTCCTGGAGACGTAGAGGGATGCTGTGTGCGGCACGGTACAGAAGCTGGGCATCAGAAGTCTGGCTGAGTGCAAATTAGAGAATAATCATGCTAGGTTGGAGGTCATACATGATGCAGCTGCTGAGTGGACTCCCTAAGACAGAGAGGCCAACAGGGAGCAGGAACCCCTAACAGGAGCATCATCCTTCCCTCTGGATGGAGCTGGTACTGAGGGCCTCTCCTGAGGGCTGTGCATCTGGCCACACAGCTTGTTCTCAGCCCTCATCAGACCCTGTGAGGCTTGTGCTCTTTGGGACCTGAAGGCAGTAGCCAAGGTTCCTTGAGAGTCAGGCGGGAGGGATGCGTGGTGGAAGCAAGGTCCAGCCTAGACTGCCCCACCTCCCGGACGTCCAGAGGTTTACTCCACTGGGCTTGGGCTGCAAAAGGAATTCTGAGACTGAAGTCCTAGCAGGCTAAGGGCTGTCTGCACGTCTTAACATGGATTATCTTTTCTTCATGAAGCTTAACTGAACTTGGCCTTAGAGGGAAATTCTAGAAGCATCCCTGGTTCTCCGTATCCCTGTCGGTCCACCCAGAGCTGAGCAACTGATTCCCTCTTGCATACTCTGAAAAGAGAGGACCCTGGGCCAGCAGCTGACCTTGGAGACCTGTGTCCAGTGTGAGCTTTGCTTCTCTGTCTTTGCAGCAGCTTGGGGAATGGATCCATGCATGGCCTTGGGTCCTCACTCCAGAGGAAGGCTGCAGGGCTCCTCCCTCCAGCCTCATATCTAACATCTGGTCTTTGCTCTCAAATTTCCATCTTGGTACCAGGACCCTGATCATGGCCACTGCTGGGGCCTCTTCCTACAGATCCATTTTACCTGGCAGGGGTGCCCAGGAGTATCGACTTCCTTGGGCTGTGAAGTGCTCACTGTCTGAAGAGGGTAAAAGGGCAATTCATGGTCCAGAACAGAGCCGGGGTCCACAGACACAACCTGTCCTCCGAGTTCCTGACTCCTCTCTCCTTTCCCTGGAGTCCCTTGGGCAACTTGCAGCATGTTACATCTGTCCCGTGTGCTGTGTCTGGGGAGCCCCACTCAAAATGAACTCTATGGTCCGGAAGGGCTAAGCCTCCAGGATGCTTTATTGAGGTGGTTCCCCTACTTCCTAAAACACCTGCTCTCTGGGTTTTCAGGTCCAAGGCCCAGGCTCTCTCAGCAGGCCCTGCCATCGAGATAATGATGAAAAATGCGCACTGAAGAGTGTCCAGACAATTAAGACCTGCTGATCGGAGGACGTACTGGCATGTTTAATTCATGCTGCAAACGTAGAGGTATTTTTGTGAGAATTAACTAAGATGGAAGCCTGTGGAAGGCGATACTGAGGGGAGGGGCAGAGGGCCCAGAGGAAACACAGAGTCAGCTCCGAGTCAACCCTCAGGGGCAGAGATCAAGGGCAGGCTGTCGCTAATCCCAGCTCCTTGGGGGCTCTGGCAGGCCTTCCCAATATTAATATGGAACAGACGAACCTGCAGGCAGCCCACAGAAAACCCCCGCTGTCTTGAAGGTTGAGGGGAACAGACTGGGTGCTTGCTGATAAGACTGGTCAGAAGAGGGAGTCAGGAGGACTACAAGGATGAGAGGTTGAAATCATCTGAGTGAAGAAACAGGAGCCATGTCCTGCACCTGCTGGAGTTTCAGAGTGACAGGATGCTACCTGTGGACCCCAGGCTGCCACATGCAGATCTCCAGCCAACTGGAAACTTGGCTCAGAGCAGGAAGATCTGGGAAAGGTAAAGAGCCTGGCTTGGACAGGTGGTTTTAACAGCTCAGTGTAGATGGAGCATCTGGGTAGGTGGGTCTATGCAGGTGATTCAGGAAGCTGTGGTAGAGGGTTCAGAGTCTCTAAAGAAGGCATTCCAGACTTTAGGCTGGATGTTGTAAAGGGGGCAGTTGGGCATTTGTCTTTCTCCAGTGAAGGGAGCAAAAGGCAGGACTGACCAGGTTAGAGTGACCTCCAGCAAGAACAGTGGCCCGTCAGAATCTCACTTGAGACAAAGCAAGACAAGGGAGCTGGGTGTCTGCACACCTCCGCTGCAGGTGGATAGCCCTTTGTCAGGTGTGCTCCTTTCCCTGAAGCTAAAGATGTGGGGAGCCAGGAAGATGTGTATCCCAAAGCCTTTCAGCCCAGCTCAGAGCCTCGCTGTGTTCAGGTGTCTCCTCTGCCTCTCAAGTTCTTCTATTCAGGAAAGAAAGAGAGTCTACATCTGAGGATTTATATTTATTCAGCCAAATTTTCCCAGACCTCATTCTCACAAAGATGAATCTTAGTTGTAAACTGTGCTCCATGGAAGGCTCTGGTGCCTAGCACTCAAGGGAAAGCCACCATAGCACACCCAGTCCTGGGAAGAACCAGCTCCTCATAGCCTGCATGGTGGCAGAAACATCTCCAGCCCCCAGCTTGACCCGCCAAACTTCCAAAGCCAGGGAGGAATGGGGCTAATTACAGACTTAATGGAGTATTAGAGTCCAGGGGGAGATGTGGCTATTAATACAGTGCACATTTCCAGCCGGGCTGCGAAGAACCAGTTCCTGCGCCCAGGGGACGTGTATGGAATTGAACCACGGGGCTAGTGGCAGGTAAATAGATGTGGTTCCCAGAAGAAATCTGACATCCCCTTGTTCCAGTTGGCTTCAGACAGACAGAACCAGCTGTGACATGCGAAATTAATTTTATGTTTCATTTTAAGTACATGGATAGCTCCCCTTCTCTAATCAGGCCAAATAATTCCTGGATGGCCGCC